CAATTCACAGCCAAAGGATCCTGCCTCCCTGCCACACAAAGAAAAAGTGGAATTTAAACCACAACTTTGTTACCACCCATCTATTCTTGAAATTGTTGAGGATGGCATGGTGGAAGCCAACCTATAGAACATTTCAGGGACTGAGTTACTGCTTTTTCTGCCTCATGCAGCACTTACTGGAATCTGTATTACTTAACTTCAAGCTCTTAAATACAACTTTAAAATTCCGTTCTCTGCATTCTTATGCATGCCCTAAAATGTTGCACCAGATCCCTTGCTAAGATTTACTTTGGTAAATCTTCCAACAATGTTGCTGAAGTTGCGCCTTGGCTTGCAGCAACTCTTTTGTCATCTGAGCATTTCTGAGCCAAGACTCACCCCAATCTATGTCAAGGATGCACAGCTGCAGAAATCACTTCTTGTATTTGAACTTTTTTTTGCATGCAGTCACCTAAATATGACAGCCATAATGGTACCTATGCATGAAATGTGACTGCAAACAGGGCTGGGATTATACCTCACTGCAAATATAAAGCAGTTATCCTCACCCACCTTCTAAGATCACTTAGCATCCCCACATACAGTTAATTTCTGTGTGAAAATCTAAAAAGAAATCGATTCTTCTAGAATCCAGATAAAATCATCACAAGGACTTCAAATGGAAAACTGTAAAATGAAAATATAAAATCCTTTTCAAACCAGACAATTATACCAGAAGTTAACCAGCACAGGAGGTTGTGAACACTAATGCCATGAAGTTTCTCAAAACTAATTAAGACATTCTTGTAGAGAAGACAATCCATCAGCAGCTATTAAACACAGTTTAATTCCTCCCTGGAGCTGCCAGCCCAAAGGTCTCCTAGAGTGGTGACTGCTACACGGGTTTACCAGGAGGAGAACTTCACTGTTCCAGTTTTTCTGTGCACCTGGGAGTGGTCCTGTCAGAAGAGCTACCAAGCAAGACAGACCTCTAGTCTGACACAGAGTAACTGCTCTTACTTCATTCACAAGATTGAAGCTGACAAGAGAGCAACCTGTTAATAAATCAGAGCTGAAGTAAACTCATACCAGTAAAAGAAATAGTCTTAACATGACTGACTGCATATCACATTCAACACTGCCTGCTCTGAACATCCTACAACACAGCCTTAATAATATTACCTATTCCCTGAAGTACCTCTTTAGATTCCAGTGTACCCAAAATGTGCTTGTGTACATTTATTGCAAATGTTATACAGCACACAGAGTAGTCAGTAGCACAGTGATAGACATTTGCAAGTGCCTGTGAAATCCCTTTGCAATTACATACCTGCTTATATAGAATTAAACACAGCCAGCAAGGAAATAAATAATAACAATAATAATAAACTCTTTCCAGAGTATTTTTGAGCATGTTTTCAAAATGTAGCCCTGTTCCATCCCCTGCTAGAGGATGGAAAAGCAGCACCCTCCAGGGTCCCTTCCCTTTCCCTGAATGAGGGGAAGATTGGAAGGCTCAGGCTCCACACCAACACAAGGCCTCTGGAAAACCGACTGCAGGAGCTGCTTACTCCTCCTTTCCCCCAAACACTGACACCATCACATCCTGTACTTTCAGAACCAGTTGCCCTCCTGGAGCAGCAGAGCCCAGGGAGCCCAGCTGCAGACGGGGGTCCCAGCGAGGCCTGCACACACCTATGGAGAGGGCCACGCTGACCAACACCTCCCTCTCCTCCCCACGCTCCGGACACTTCCCCACATCCCAGCCTGTCCCTTCCCCTCTCGGCTCCTGTCACCTCCAGCCCGGTGGCGATGCCTGCGCCAGCGTCTGCCCGTGTGCCATCACCTGCTCGCTGAGCAGATTCAGGGAGACAAGCCCTGAGAACCTCTCCTGCAGCAACGCCACCTCCACAACAGCGACAAGAAACAGCCAACTAATAATAATGAGGGGCTGCCAGCTTCAGCAAACGCGGCTGGAATTGTAGTTTTTGTTTAATTCAGGAAGCTTCCAGTTGAGCATCAGTCATCTTGCTTGACCCAGAGCCCGCACAGCACCCCAGGCACCAGTGGCTGTGCACAAAGACTTTCCACGAGGCCTTGGGCTGTCAACTAAATGAAGCCGAAAGTAACTTTGCCATGCGTGCAGGCAGCACCTAAGGCGCTGCAGAAGCTCCTGGAGCACAGGCAATCGATAGTAAGTATATCATAATCCCAAAGAGATTGCTAAAAATTTGTTTAGTACATTACTGTGTCCACTCATTGTGTTTCCATCCAGTATCTACAACACGCCAAGTGCAGCAGGTCTGCCCGATGTAAACAGCTACCCTAATCCACGCTGTTCTATAGATCGTGTTTACCCAAAGCTGAATGATCATTTCAACCTTTGTTAATCTGATTGCATAACAAACCACAGCAGCCTGAAATAACCAAGCTGCTCTCTCCAGCACACATTAGTTGAAATCAGTCATTTCAGCACCCCGCTTCTTCTCAAAAACGAAACAGACCAGCTCAGGGAGAAAGAAGAAAACAAACCAAGCACTTGACCACTGCTTTCGCAGCCACCCACCACACAGATCGCAGCACGCAGGTGCCACGGGCACATTTGCACCTGGAGCAGGCTGTGAGCACAAGGCAAAGCAAAATGTTCTCAAGCCCTGAGCTCCACTGCGCAACTGAAGCACAGGCACAGCTCGGGCGCAGGCTCGCGAGGAAACCATACAGCGTGGATTTCCAAAACATGAAATTGCACGTATATAAACAAAGGCTGTAATTTACATGGCAGATCCTATGAAAGCTTATCTGGCACATGACATCACACCCATAAATTACAACTTAAAGCACCTGTGCCAAACTGCTCCCACCCCAAAATGAACGTGATTAATATCATCTGCTCACCCATGCCCATGCCTCTTGGGAATAAACACACATGAAGTACCTCCCAAGACAGAGTAGTATTTAAAGATTCTTCAGACAATGAGAAGATTTATAATTATTATTGCATTGCATCATCACAAAGCCTTAAACAAATCAAGCTGCCTCATCATATGACACCTAAGATAATACAAGGTTAAACAGCATCAAGCAGTATCGGTTAACTTCACTTGTACCGAAGGGCAAATACCCCCCAGCCCCTGGGCACAGGGATCTTCAGCCTCACAGCTATTATTAAACAGCAAGTCAGACAAGCAAAAGCAAAACACACGGATTTCTTTGAAAAGGCCCAGAACCAGAATTTTTCCACTGAAATCCAACCAACCAGGGCGTAGGGAAAGTGAAGGGCAGGCGAATGGGGAACTGAATAAGGTGAGGGACGTGTTTCAGCATCTCTCAGCTTTAGTTCACTGGTCCATGATCAGCTTGGGAGAAATCAGAGGCGGTATCAGGAGCTAACATTACACTGCCTATCGATCACAGCCAGCTTTCCACAGCACACAACAGAATTTCTCCTCTGGACCGATGACAGCCGAGGAGGTTGCCTTATGGCACAACTGGCAGACAAGACGGGCATCAGCCGACTCTAACGAAAACACGCCCGAATACCTTTGTAAGGCAAAACCAGCCAAGTATCTCTGCTCCAGGCATAAATATCCGCTCCTCCGGGTCCGCAGCTACCCACAAACAATTGGTGATTATCGCGGTGCCCCCACGCTCCGCCCGCGCCGGGCACTGCCCCCGCAGCAGGCCCTGCGCCGGGAGCGGGGCTCTGCCCGCGCCAGCTGGGTCTGGGCCGTCTCCATCGCGCTCTGCCCGCACCGGATTCCCATTTCTGCGCGTTATTACCAATCTGACATCACCCCAGAGCAAGCACAGCCTGACATCTACAGTTAACTCGGTGATGGTGTAAGTGCCGCCCGGCGCACGAACGGCCGGTGTTGCAATACGCCGCCGCCGAACATCGAAAAAGAACGTAAATAGACACAGACACCGACACTCAGCCGCACGTACGGAACCCGCCGGAGCGCGGCTCGCAGGGCTCGCTCCCGCCCCGGCCGTGGAGCCGCAGCCGAGCCCCCGGCCGCGATGGCCCCGGCCCGGGGGCGCTCCGAGCCGCCCACCCGCAGCCATTTCCCCGCCGCGGCCGCGGGTCCGGCGCTCCCGGCGAGCCCGCTCCGCACAAAGCCCGCCGGGCCATGAATAAAACATCGCCCGGAGGCGGCGGCGAGGGGGGTCGGGATACGAGAAATAAGGCAACGGAAAGAGGAGCGGGGGAGCGGCCCCGCGGAGGATGGAGGGGCTCCCCCCGACCCCTGACCCGCGCTGTCCCGGCCCCGGGCGCTCACCTCGGCAGCCGCGCTCCGAGCGGCTCCCCCGGGCCGGAGCGGGCGGCGGGCGCGGGCGGCTGCGGCTCCCGGGCGGTGTGCGGCGGGGAGCGGAGC